GACCTGGAGTTCTACAGGGGGTTTTAGGGCAAATCCCTACCATAGTAACCAGTAGTGCATATCTGTGGTTTTCTAATCCACATCTATCTCCCTACAGAACCAGCAGGGCAGGAGGCCATAGTTTGGCGTCTGGCTGGCTCCTCCTGGAATCACGACTAATGCTTGCAGTAGAAGGCACAGCATGTGTTTGGCCTGCTTCCTATCTAATTAGAAAACTAGATGATGGGGAATGCGTCTGCTGTCTCATTGTCTGACAAGTCATGCCACATCCATTTAAAGCCCCAAACGCAAATATACAGACATTATAAACCACGGGTCCCAGGAGTCTGTCTCTGAGTTAGAAGTTGCCTCCCATGTCCACTCCCAACACCATCCACAGAGAAAACTATGTCACTTTGCTCCTACTCTGAGCTCTAAGGTTCCCCTCCACCACACTCCCCATCTCTCCATCCTCCATTTGTTGCCCAGAGCAACAGTGTGGGTCAAAACCATATTATCCAGAAGCTGCCTGAAAATCGTCATCTCTCGCGTATCGTGGAGAGGATGTGTAAGTAGGGGGATTGGTAGCTGCTCCCTGTTTCCACTCTAACTGCCTTGGATATCTCTGATTAACTCCTACTTTGACTGGCTATGAATCAATGAGCCCTCAGCAGAGCCTCAGTACTGGAAGCTCTAGGAAGTAGCCTCACTCTGCTTGGCGGGGGTGGGAATTCCCTCGGAGGGGGGTTACAGGAGGGCAGGAAATTACTCCAGTGCCATTTTCCAAGGCCTCTGGCACCCAGCAATGCCTTCCTTCAGAGAAAACTTCAAAAAACAGCCGTAATCATTTACCAGAGGGTAGTGCACGCATCCCCTGTGTATACACATACCCTGTGTATACATGTGTATTCCTGCATGTTCACATGGGTAAGAGAGGGAGATGAAACATTGTTATCAATAGTGCTTGACACAGTCGTGCTGCATTGGGAGGTATCCAGTCTACAAACAATTATGAAATAAAAATGTCTACATGTGGACTTGGCCCAGGACAGAAGTCAACAAAATGAAGGAAAATAGCTAGCCACCTGATTTTTATCCTAGATGCCAACATGAGATTGGATGTAGAGTAAGCTTTCAAAGTCACAAAGTAAAAAAAAACTTTCTCTGGACAAACAGAAGCACTCCAATCAGAGGTCTGCTTGAGAACGACGTTTAGATTGGCTGAGACATTTTATTTACCATTGTTTAGAAGTGCTGACTTGAGAGAATAGCAAATGAGGTGTTCTAAATAAACTTCCTATTTCCCCAACTTTTAAAATAATTATTGGTGCTTTATATCTAAGTGTGAGAAATATAAAGATAAATATATGTAAGGACCTTGTCTTCACTATTTTCAATCTTCAAAATCATCACGCACAATTTTTTGTTTTAATATTCAAATCAGATGTTGGACACCTTTTAGATGGTCCCTACAAAATGAATGAATTGACACCAATTTCGAGCAATGCAACAGATGAGATAGCTGAAAAATCTTCTGTTAGCCAAACACTTAGAAGTGTTAAATAAAATACAGAAAACATCCTTTAAATGTTTGATCTCATCAGGAAGCAAGGAAAATATCTAGAGGCAAGAAAAAAGGAAGAAAAAAAAGGAAGCTGAAAATCAGAGTGGGAAGTGGTACTGAGGCTGTGGCTGCACTTGGAGCACTTGTTGGTCTTGATTAAGAGAATAATAAAGAAACTTAAGTTTATTTGGGTTTGCATAGCCATCTAGGGACCAGAGACAAAGCCATGGGCCTGGATGAAATGGGAAATCACGTCTGAAAAACCATGACACTTGGAGGGCTATGGTCTCCATGCAACGGTGGACTAAAAAAACAAATCTAGCCCACAAAGGGAGATGGCACAGGAGCCCATCTATCGAGGCCTGGGATCTGGGTAGCCAAAAAAATGTTGTCTTATGAATTCACAACCACAGGCCTGCCCAATACTATCTGCATAGTCTTAGAACCTCCTGACTGAGGAAGTTTCATAAAAGTGGCCCCTTCTGGTAATTCCCTGAGCACATTCATAAGAATCAATGTAAACCCTCTATAAAAGGGTACACTGTTATACATATTATACAGAATACCACTGATAAAGCGCCATTAAATAAAAGTTGATAAGTCCAATTTACAAAACACAATATACAGCAAACAGGAGTCATCAGAAATAACAAACAGCATAACATGACCCATAGGAGTTTTAGTTCATTGAACTATTCGATACAGACTGCAAAATCAAAACTTCAAACACATTTATAATATAAAGAGTCAAAAGCAAGAAAGGAAGAAGGTAATAAAAATAATGATGTGAAATTTCTATAAACAAATAATACAGGCACTAAATTTTAACATTCAGTGAAGTCGGCTGTTTCCAGTACAAGAACTTACAAGGTATTTGGATAGATTTTCCTTCTAAAAAGAAAAAAAAAACTATATGCTATATTTAAATTTTTCAATTTTCTTTAAAAATCTCAAAGAGCTAGGGCCGGCCAAGTGGCTCAGTTGGTTAAGAGCTCACTCTAGAATGTGAGCTCTGAGCAACAAGGTCACCCGTTTGATTCACAGCCTGAGCTGAGCTGCCGCTGAGCTGCCAACAGGTGGCAGGATGGTTCAGCTAAAAAAAAAAAACAAATTAAAAAAAAATTTTTTTAATAAATAAATAAATAGAAATCTCAAAGAGCTGACAACTAAGGAATTATCAGTTTAAAATCTTTGTGATGGAGGAAATCAAAATCCTGAAGTTAAATTTTTCCCTGAGATCCTTTGCCAAACAAAGTAAGAGAACGTGAACCTTAAGTTTACTCAGCCTCATGAGGCTTGGGAGATAAAAGACAAAGCCCAAAGCCTGCCCAACATCAGGAGTCCAATAGTGGACCTCTTCCCATAAGGCTGGGAACCCAAAAAGCTATACCCTCAAGACAAGCATTAGGTATACATAAGCCCAGCCCATCCTCACATTCCCAGGGACCACACAGAAAGCTGCCTTGGCACAGAGGGGAACAGGAGGGAAAAAAACTCTTTATCATTAAAAATTTATAACATGAGTCAGATTTGCAGATTTGCAGCCCGTGTGGACGGTCCAAATAACCTCATACAATTAATTCAGCTTGAAGTGCTTAGTACCAGGAGTGCTCCAAGCCTAAGGAAGAAGAAAACAAAGTCCTCTCTGAAAGAATGGACCTTGATCCTAGGTCTCAAAGAAATACCACAAATAATTACCCATTTTAAAAAATGGGTAAAAAAGCTTATAGTAAAAAAAAAAATAACCAAGCACACAAGGGAGCAAAGCACCATGAAGAACAATAAGGAGAAAAAAAAACACACAGCAGAAACAGACCTGCAAAGATATTGTATATTAAAATTATAGCGTTCCAAGCCGTTGGCCCCGCCCTCCCTCTGCGCGCGCCGGCACCCGCTGCGTCTCGGGGCATTTGAATTGCGCTTCCACCCAGAGACGTTTCTGGCAGTAACGTTATGATGGCTGCCCAAGGAGAACCCCAAGTTCACTTCAAGCTTGTATTGATTGGGGATGGTGGGACTGGAAAAACGACATTTGTGAAACGTCATCTGACTGGTGAATTTGAGAAGAAGTATGTAGCTACCTTGGGCGTGGAGATCCATCCCCTCGCATTCCACACCAACAGAGGGCCGATTAAGTTCAACGTGTGGGATACAGCCGGTCAGGAGAAATTTGGTGGACTGAGAGACGGCTATTACATCCAAGCCCAGTGCGCCATCATAATGTTTGACGTAACTTCGAGAGTCACATACAAGAATGTGCCTAACTGGCATAGAGATCTGGTGCGAGTATGTGAAAGCATCCCCATCGTGCTGTGTGGCAACAAAGTGGACATCAAGGACAGGAAAGTGAAGGCCAAATCGATCGTCTTCCACCGAAAGAAGAACCTTCAGTACTACGACATCTCGGCCAAAAGTAACTTCAACTTTGAGAAGCCTTTCCTCTGGCTTGCTAGGAAACTCACCGGAGACCCTAAGTTGGAGTTTGTGGCCATGCCTGCCCTGGCCCCACCGGAGGCTGTCATGGACCCCTCCTTGGCAGCACAGTATGAGCACGACCTAGAGGTGGCTCAGACAACTGCTCTCCCGGATGAGAATGACGACCTGTAAAAGTAAAGCTGGGGCCCAGCGTCAGAAATCTAGTTTTATAGGCCACTGTCCTGTGATGTCAACGGTGCGGCATGTTTGCCACTTTATTACACAGCTAAGTAGGACATGTGCTTAATTTTTGGGATGCTGATAGACATGGATGGGCTTCGGAGTGAGTGTGGCAGTTAAAAAAATACCTTCGTTTTTTGGACCTGCATATTTAGCTGTTTTGGAATGCAGTTGGTTCCTTGTTGAGTTTGAAATATAAGACTGCTACAGTCACAATATTCACGGGGGGGATCTTATTGGTTACTATCATTCCCATTCCTTTACGTTAAGAATCAGAATAAAGTTGTATTTCAAATATCTAAACAAAAAAAATATAGTGTTATATTATACAAGAAATATCTATTCTTTAAATAAACAAAAGGCAAGCTTGAAAAAAATCTGCAGGCTAACAGAAAACTATTTTCCAAGCAACTGAGCAGATTTGAAAAAGAATCAAATTGGAATTCTAGAATTAATGATTAATTGAAATTTAAAATTCAGTGGATAGATTTAAAAGCAGTTTAGATAGAGAATTAGTAAGTCAGAAGATATATTAGAAGAAAGCAACTCCATGGGAAAATGGGATAGAGATGTGAACGGTTTAAAAAAAATAAATGGAAAAACTTCAGGCTTCTGCTTAGGATATAGAAAGTTGGAAAGAGACTCATTTCCACACTTAAAATCAAAAATTACCAAGCTACCTGAAAATTGACTATTTTTGCTGAGCCCATCAGGGTCCTGGAGGACAGGGAAAATAGGGAGAGCATAGTAAAAGGTACATCCAAACTTTCAGTTAGGAGATGAATAAGGTCTGCAAATCTAATGCATAACATGATGACTATAATTGATAATACAGTGTTGTAGAAATGAAATTTGCTAAGACAGTAGAATTTAAGTGTTCTCACACACGAAAAAAGGTAAATATGTGAGTTGATGATGTGTTAATTAACTCAAATGTGGGAATCATTTCACATTGTATACATATATCAAATCATCATGTTGTGCATTATATATATATATATATATAACAATTTCATATTACAATAAAATTATTGTCAATTAGACCTCAACAAAGCTGAAAAAATTATTTTTAAATGACATAATTTGAAAGGAAAAAATTTTAACAATGAGAACACCACAAGTCAAAATTTCTAGGAACTATGCAAGCGGAACATTTCTGGTCTTAAATGCATATATTTTATAAGAAGAGGGTGTGTAAATTTTATAACCACAAAATTGAAAGCCTACATGAAATAGAAAACTTTCTAGCAAAACTTACAAAAACGGACCCAAGAAAAATAGAATATACATTAGTCATTAAAGTAATTAGTAGGGTGTTTAAAACTCATTTGGAGGGTGGGTGAATCCCTGGGCCAGGCTGCTTTACAAGCTAGTCTACCAAATCCTCAAGAAAGAAATAACTTCAATCTTATTCAAATTGTTCAAAGAAGAAAAAAAGGAGTAAAACTCATCAACTTACGAGGCTTCCAAAACTTTTATTCCAAAATCAAATGAGGATAATATAAGGAGACATTTTAGGCCAAACTCGTTCATGATTTTTTTTTTTTAAAAAAAAAAAAGAAAGAAAAAAGGAAAAAAAGATGTAAAAATGTGAAATAAAATTTCAACTGAATTTTATTAAATTCTTATAATATTAAAATCATACTACATCACAATCATGTAAGATTTATCTCAGAAAGGTGAGGAAAGTTCAATAATAGAATATCTACCAACATCATAAATCGCATTGAGAGAAGAAGGTAGAAAAACTACACAACTCAATAGAGACAGAAATCTTTTGATTAAAAAAGCATTAGGGACTTTAAAAATCTTATCAAACTAGAAGTAGAAGGGATCTTCTTAACAGCCCCCAAAAACTTTATCAAACATTGTATTTATGGTGAAATATTATAGAAGTATTTCTTTTTAAAATCAGGAACAAAGTAAGAATACCACTTTCATTATCACTATTGGGCATTTTACTATTATAAAAGTAAAAAACTGTAATTATTCACAAATAATATGGCTTCCATATAGAAGACCCAAGACAATTTTAAAATAATTAAAATTAATAACAGAATTAAGCAAAGTTGTGGGAAATAAAATTATTATATATAAATCAATCATACTCCTATATATCAACATCAAACAATTAGAATTTTTAATTTTAAAAATACAATTTACAATAGAAAATAAAACTATAAAGTATCTAAGACTAAATCTAACAATAGGTGTGCAAGATCCTTATAAATTATAAAACACTACTTAATGTCATTAAAGATTACCTAAAAACATTGGAAAGTGTTTAATGTTAAAGGATAAGAAGACAAAATAAGGTACTGATTTTCTCCCAAAGTATAATTCAGTGAAATTCTAATCAAAAGTCCAAAAGGAATTTTTCAGAGTTCACTGATAACTTCTATGGAAAAGTAAATGGCCAAGAATAGCGAAGACAATTTAAAAAAGAGAAGCCAGGGGGCCGGCCAAGTAGCTCAGTTGGTTAAGAGCTCACTCAAGAGTGTGAGCTATGAGCAACAGCAATTCAATGCCCGGCCCGAGCTGAGCTGCTGCTGAGCTGCCAACAGGTGGCAGGATGGCTCAGCTAAAATAAATAAATAAATAAATCAATAAATAAATAAATCAATAAATAAATCAATAAATAAAGAGAAGCCAGTAGACTTGTCCTCCCTGACATCAAGATGACTACTAAGCTTGCAGCGACCAAGACAATGTGGTATTGGCATAGGGAGAAAGAGTAATTAGAATCCAGAGTCCAAAGAAAGACTTACACATATAAAAATAACTTCATGAGTGACAGAGGTGGCATTGCAGATGAGTAGGGGTAAGGCTGGAATACTCAATAGATGGTGTTGGCACAATTATCTACATGGAAATATGGAAATATAATTGATCTGGATGCTACCTCACACCATATAAAAAAAAATGAATTGCAAGTGAATTAGGACCTATATGTGAAAAACAAAACTATATTTAAACTATAAGAAAACATAACCTGTAGGCAGGAAAGAAATTTCTTAGAAAGACACAAAAATCACAGACTATAAAAGAAAAGACTGATAAATTCAACCAGATTAAAATTAAAACTTTGGGGAGGCATCAAAAGGAAAGATAAACATGGTGAACATACAAATCAAACTTAGAGAAGTTACTTGCAATGCACAGAAACAATACAGAAATTATGTCTAAATATGTAAGGAACTCCTACAAATGATAAGAAAAGGCAAACCACACATCAGACAAATGAACACAAAAATATGAATATTCATTAAAGAATATACCAAAATGCTCCAAAAAAAATATTTTTTAAATGCTCAGCAACACCAGAAGACAAGGAATACAAATTCAAAATCACAATATAATTCTACCTCATACCCATTATAGTGGCAAAAATCGTGACATTACTGGATGCTGGCAATGATGTGGCACCACAGGAATTCCTTTATGGTGTTTAGAAAATCACTCTGAGAGGTGCAAATGCCAGTAGTTCTAAAGAGGCATCTAACCCATGGCACAGAAATTCCCTCCGGAATATATCCCCTGAAACTCTTCCATATGTGGTCAAGGAGTTTACAGAAGCAACACTGCAGTATTCTTTATAATAAGGAAAACTTGTAAATACCCTAAATGTCCATCGAAGAAATGGATAATTGTGGCAAATTAATTCGATGAAACACTACACTATGTAAGATGATTAAACTAAAGCTGTGTGTATCAATTTGACACATCTTCAAAACATAAATTTGGAGGTATACATAGGAGGATGATCAACACCAAAATTAGGATAGTGGTTATTTAAGAAAGTGAGTGGAAGAGAAAGGGGAAGGTGACCTGGGGTATGTCAGGTATACACAGGGAGCTTTGCAAATTTTTTTGTTGTTATGCTAGCTAATGGACATACAGTGCATTTTATATTTTTCTCTATATCTTTTAGTACACCTGAAATATTTTTTAGCTTTGCTTTTCTTCACCTTTTAATTGTGAAATAATTACAGATTCACAAGACGTTACAAACATGGTTCAGAGTAGTCCCCTCTACTCTACACTCAGTTTCCCACAATGGTTACATGTTACCTAATTGTAGTAAAATATCAAAATAAGGATATCCACATTGGTACCATGTGTTAAGTTCTATGTCAATTTGCCACATGTGTCAATTCATGTAATCACCACCGCAATCAAGATACAGAACTATTTTATGATTACACAGATCTCCCTCATGCTACCCCTATAGAATCACACTTTCCCTCCCCCACTAATCCCCACCTTCCCTAACCCCGGCAACCTCTAATTGGTTCTCCAACTCTACACTTTTGTCCCTTTTAAATATTATACAAATATATGTGACCCTTTGAGATTGGCTTTTCTCACTCAAAATAATACCCTTGAGAGTCACCCAAGTTGTTGTGGGTATGAATGTTTCCTTTTCATTTCGGAATGCTATTCCATGGTATATATGTACCAAAGTTCATTGGAGTACATTTTGGTTGTTTCCAGTTTGGGGCTATTACAAACAAAGCTTTGAGCAATCAAGTAGAGGGTTTATGTGGATATAAGTTCTTCATTCCTCTGGGATAAATGGCTAAGAGTATAATTGCTAGGTTATATGGTAAGTATACCTATTTTTTTTTGAGAAATTCCCAAATTATATTCCAGCATGGCTGTACCATTTTCCTTCCCCATCAGCAATGTATGAGACCCAGTTTTTCCACAATGAGAGACCCAATTTTTCTACATCCTTACCAGAATTTGATACTGTCATTCTTTTTTTTTTTTTTTTGCTGTTCTGATACGTGTGTAGTGATATTTCATCATCGTCTTAATTGCATTTCCCTGACAACTGGTGATGTTGAACATTTTTTCACGTGCTTACACGCTATCTCTATATCCTCTTTGGTGAAATGTCACTACATGTCTTTTGTTCATTTTCTAATTAGATTGTTTGGTTTTTTAGT